TCATTTCATGTTTCACAGTGGTGAAATTTTCTCAGATGAAAATGAAAACCGGTTTCGGTTTGTTTCGTTTCGTGGAAAAGACTAAGCCCAGGAATAGTATTTTTTTACCATCACTGTTGTAACTTGTTTTAATATGTCAATATTTTATGTACTCTTTGTTTCTGATTATCAATTTTTTCAGGCAACCACCATAAACAGAAGTTTTTTTTATTTATTAGGCTAGTATGCAAATTAGGTGATGCTCTCTCAGATTTGTTAATCTCACAACAATTTTCAATTTTTTCAGAATGTTTTCATGACATTGTTTCCGGTGGCTTTTGTTTTCTGAATAAATTTTTGTTCCCCTACAAAAATCTTGTAAAATATAACATGAATTGATGTAAACAACTATATAACATTTGCAAACAAATCTAATAAGAAAATCTTGAAGAATAATGTACATACATTTTCATCCAAAGAACTGTCGTTGTTAAATTATCCATTAAACATTGAGCATTTCTGATACATAAGAGATAGTGATACCATTTGAATGGTGAATGAAGAAATATGCAAACAAAGCAGTCATCAATCTGAGAGACTAGCTGTTTTTTCTGTAAGGATACAAAAATCATATTAAAGTTTCATTCCTATTCCACACCTTCCATTGATTATTGTGGTCACCAATGAAAAATGATGGAAAAGTCCTGAAATATTGCACTTCTGTAGATTATGGTGTTTAATCACTGAATCAAACATTGTTGTAATCAAGGAAGGGAAGAGAGGAGGTGGAGATGAGGGGGTTGTAAGTAAGAGAAGGAGGCTGAGGGGAGCAGTAAGCGAATGGGAGAGAGCTGTAAGCAAGAGTTGGAGGCCGTGAGGGTGATGCCAGAAATAACTGAGAGGGGGCGTAAGCAAGAGGGGGAGAATAGGAGAGGACATAAGCGAGAGGCAGTGATGGGACCATAAGAGAGAGGGAGATAGTGGGGGACTGCAAACAAGATGGGGTACTGCGAGTCGGGTGGGGGTTGTGAGGTATGGAGAGCAAGAGGGAAAGGCAAGAATGGGCTATATGCAAGTGAGGAGGTAACTGATTGAGAGATCCCAGGAATTGACCATAAGGAGAGGCTAGGAGGGATTGTAAGCAAGAGGCAGGTCAGAAGAGTCTGTAAGGGAGAGAAGACAACGGCCAGGAATGGTTCTTTGCGAAAGAGGAAGGCGGGGAAGGGATGTAGTCAACAGGGATGTCATGTGGTGTGATAAGCATGAGGGGAAGCCAGGAATGATGGCAAGCAACAGAGGAGCTGTAAGTGAGAGGTGGATACCGAGAGGAGCAGGAAATTAAATGAATGGCAGAGGTTGAAAGGAGCTGTATGCAAGATGGTGAAGGTGCTGTTAGCAAGAGGGAGATGTTGATTGGTGTGGTAAATGACCTGGAAATACCAGGATTTGGTCGTAACTGAGAGAAGGAGGCCCTGTGGGGTCGAAACTATGAAGGGGAGACCAGGAGGTACCGTAAGCATGAGGGAGGAAGTTGGGATGGGCAGCAAAAGATCAATAGAGCCTGTGGTACATAAACAAGAGGTCCCCAGGTCAGAGTTGCTTTAGGCGAGAAGGGGGCGGGTTGTTAGGTCATGAAGTGAGAAGGGGTGGCTGGAAGAAGCCACAGAGAAGGGTGAGAGGTGTCACAAGCAAGAGAAGGAAGCCAGGATGTGTCAAATTTTCCAAAGGTGGAAGGCCGAGAGGGCTTGCTCACTGCTCTTCTCGGCTCGCTTTTGCGTACTTTCCTCTGGGCCTTTCTCCTTATGGCCAAATCCAGGTTTTTCCTAATTGTTAACCATACCTCCTGAGCACATCTCTTGCCTAGGCGCTTCTCAGTAATTATCTCTTGATTACAGCCTATAACCAAATCCCTGTCTTGCTTACTACTTCTCTTACTACTACTTCTGCCTACTGCCCCCTTTTTGTTTACTGATCCTTTCATTATCTTTTATCACTTACGACCTTCACCTCCTTCTGGCCTCTCCTAGCATACATCGAAATTTAGGTCTCTCCCAAACGTTTACTGATTCTTATAGCCTCCCTTTCAAACTTACAACCCTGTATCAGCTTCTCAAGAATGTTCACCAACTTTTCCTACCACTCCGTCCCTCCCAGTCTCTACTTCTCAGTTACAACCCCATCTCAGCTTCCACTACCCTGCAAACCACCCGGTACCCACCTCTTAATGACAGCTTCTTCAGGTTTCTTCCTCTTGCTCAACCCTGACCTTCTCAGAATTGTGGCACCTCCTGACCTCATCATCTTGTTTGCAGTTCCTACAGGAGTCCCTCTTGCCTACATCCAATTGCAGTCTCCACCTCTCATTTATAACCTTTTGCAAGCTTCTCCCAAACATTCCCGACCCCTCTCGACCATCAGCTCTTGCCTATGGCCTTCCCAATATCCCCCATTCACTAACTGCTTCTTCCAGCTTCACTCTCTCGCTTACAACCACATTTTGGTTTCTCACGCTTGTTTACTGCCCTTTTCAAACTTTTCTTTCACCTATGACAGCTCTGGTCTACCCCTCTCGCATACAACCCTTCCTGGCTTCTAACAAGCTAACAACATCTCCCTGGCCTCCTCGCTTACAGCCTCTCTTATTTACAACTACGGCTTCAACAGAATGTTCACTCCACTTTCGATCATCAGCCCTGACCCCCTCTCGCCTAGTTCCCCAATTTCTCATTCTCGTTTACAGTCTCTTCTTACTTCCTTTTCTCACTTCCAAGCATTCACCGCCTCTCTCAACAACCCACTTTCGCTTAAAGTCTCTCCATGTTCCTTTCTTTTGTTTACTGCCAACCCTTTTATAGCCTATGGTAACTCTGGTCTCATTTCTCTTAGCTGATCCCGGCCTTTTCCTTTTGCTTACAGCATCTCCTGGTCTCAGCCTCCCTCTCTTGCATAGAGCTTCTCCCAGCTTTTTTCTTATAAACAAATCACAGGCTCTCCCAATGGTTTGCAGACTTTCCTATCGCCTATGGTAACTCAGACCTCCCCCTCTTTTATACAATTCAAGCACCGCCTCTACGTATTGTTTATCACTCAATCCGACCTCCCGGCACGCTTACAGCCATTCCCAGCCTCTCCCAATTGCCTACAACATCTCCCGGACCTTCTCCACTTGCTTATGTACTATCTCTACCTCCCACTCTCCCTTTTTAACTCTCACCAACAGCCCATTTCTGTCTTTCCCTTTTGTTTACATCCATCCCTGGTCTCCCACATTCTCTGACATACAGTATTTAATAATATTTCGGTCATCGAAAAACATAATAATTTTAGATAAATGGATTCATGAAAATTCATTAGCCTAAGGACGAAACTGTTGAATAAATATATTCAATGATTTCTTCAGAAAAAAACACACTCACAACCGAATCAACTGACCGAATGTCAGTATCTCGTCAATATTTAAAAAAATCGACAACCTTGAGTTATATACATGGACAACCATCTGAATATTAATTATTCTCTAATATAACAAGGGTTCTAACAAGATATTTTGTTGATAATAATACAGCCGCTAAGTTTGACCAAGTTTCTTATGATTTTGAATAATCATACAAGGAATACATACAACATGCATGCGTCACTTACAGACGTCAATATATCGTCAATATTTATGTCCAACTTTAATAGTGCCATATTTCTAATTTGTCGATCCATGGAATAAAACGTCAAACTTGATCAATATATCTTGAATGTTTTAATGTAATATATATTTTATATTTACGTCATTTGACCAAGCGCAATGCATGCTGGGTCACTAAGCAACACGTGGATAACAAGGTTCATTGGAAATGTTATCAGAGGTGAATGATTGGGGTACTCACGAGAAAGGCATAAGTACACTTTCCAAGATAATAAACGTTCAACATAGAAAAGAAGTAAACCGCTGATGGTTGTTGATGGTAAATCTGTCGCCGACCTGATTTCCGCCTGGATGCCCTGTGTGTGACATACAAAAACAAATGACGTCACATGAAGGTGTGACTGTGTGGGGCTTTATTATTCAGTCGGTTGGATTTGCTCTTATTTCGTTATTAGCTAAATGTGTCAAATTAAAACCCAGTGATTATGCAAATCTAACTATATAACGTCATGTTTTTTTCTACACAAATAAATGATAGAATACTTAAATTAAACGAAAATATCTGCAACATCAAATCCGCTAATATTAAATCCACCGTTCCTCTTCTTTGTAATCTAGACAACTTAGAAAACGGTCCAAGAAGTTAGTCATTGGACGATATTACGGATTTATTCGGAGATGAGATGTTCGGAGAATACTTACCTCATTGGAAAACGGTCTAATATAATTAATAATATAATAATATCGAGTACTACTTGTATTAGACTCTTATTTCGATATAATAACATAGGAAAATATCATCCGATAACATCGATTAGACAAATGATGAAATTGATTAAGTTATAAAATGCAATGTCACGTATTCGTGGCACGCATGCAATTAGCCCTGTTAAAATTGGAATGGCGAAAGTGAACGCGCGTCGTCATAGAAATTAGCGCCAATTTGTGATGGGCATTATAATAGAGGCGAATCGTCTGACAAAGATGTCAAAGAGAAATGTCAACAAAAT